CACACTGTGTTATTGGGGAGTTATTGCGGCGTTATTGGAGTGTTCTGCGGGGGTTATTGAAGTGAAACCGGGGAGGTTATTGGAGCGATTCACTGTATTGTGTTATTTAGAGTTTATTACGGTGTTAGTGGGGTGTTATTTGAGATATTTTACAGGGATTATTGATGCGGAACTGCAGACTTATTGCGGATCAGTTAATGGGGGGTTAGTGCGGCATTTTATTAGCATTTACATTTATATCAGTTTAGGATTCTAACATCTAGTGAAAGAAATTCCATCACATCAGTCCTATCACTCTTTAACCAATTATTAGTCAGTTTGCAGATACTGAAGCTACAGTTGATCTAATTTATTTATACAATTATGCAATTCTGAAAAAAATTGATGCAATAAAGCTATTCGGGAAGACCAAATGTAAATAAAAATTGCTTAAGTAATGTATGCAATATTGTTAAATTTAATATACTTATTTTTTACACACTATTCCAGAAAAAAAGAATAATGTAATTGAATATTTTTGTGTTGAAAGTTATATCTCACATATGGAATCCATCATCAGTTCGATATATGATTACGTGGGCTGTAGTGAAAACTAATTATGCAATGTTGGAATAATTATGAGTGAATATTTATAAACGGGTAACACCACAAAAAAAGCAAGAACCAGAAAAAAAAAACCTAATAATGATTATTTTACATTATATATTGACCTGCGTGAGAAAATCAGGCATTGAACGCAAGTTTGGATCACATGGGATCGGTTCTGGTTCTTGGCTGGTTGAGCTTCTTTTTGTTTTTCTGTGTACCATAATAAGTGTTAGAAAAACTTATTGATAGCTAAAAAATAAAACTAGCATTGAAATTAAAAATAAAAAAAGAATATACTTTTTGCTCTCTTGTTCTTCTCATAATGCCCTTTTAACCAGAAATTAGATATTCTCTTAGAGCACCTCTTCGTTTGGTCATTCAAGTTGGATTCATTATTCACTCGTTTTTTATTCCTTTTTGGTTGTTGCCTGGATTGAGAACCTATCCAACTTAGTATATCATCAACATCCAATAATAATTTTTTCAATGAGTTCAACATGCATTGCTCTGCTTCTTCATTCCCCTGTATTTTATTACTAATTTAATATGCAAATTTTTGAATATGTGCGCGAAATATGAGGCTACTTGAATTAACATTCCACATTTGTTGCTCTTGAGATGCTTATATCCATAACAGTTATAGATATTCCTTTTTGCATTAACAGATCATCCCAATAAGAGATATTTATCTGACATCTTCTTTATATATTCAAAGTTGAGGACTCGTCGAGAGCGAACACAAAGTAGCCCCATCATTTGAAATTTTCTGCAGCTGCACTTAATCTCTGAACTGAACTTGTCAAAATTAACAACCTAAGGTATGTTTGTCAAGTGATCATCCAAATTCTTAATAAAATATTTAGAATCACAATTTTCAGATAATTCTAATTGAAGACTGCATGATCCGTGTATGAACTCTTCCTCAAACATTGAGTACAATTTTTTTGAGTAAAATAAAGTCATCTACCTCAATATTGGGTTGTTTTTGGCGACTAGAGTAATTACAAATTGATCACACTTGAGATTCTTGTTCTTCTCGTTCCGCCTCCATGCTCTCATGACATTTTCATGGCCTAGAAAACAATCGGTAATAGAACTTGTGGACTTTGAGATATCATGACAAATATTATTGGTGGGCTTACTTTTTGGGTCGATTAAATTCTCATTCCAAAAATCTCTTTATTAAAAATTGTAGACCACTTATGTTTACTGTTATACATATCATCTAGCCACACTTTGTCGTGTAGATTTCCTTTCTCAGTCATCACCTCCCAAGTATTTTCAAATTCCTCTTCAGAGTCACATTTGCTTATACATTTATAGAGAAAACCAATTATTATTTTTATTCCCCACCCCCACAGTGAACCTTTGACGAAAATTTCTTGTATATTGTCATTGGCATAATCTTTGTGATGTATTTAACTAAATATTTTTTATGACTCTAGTCATTGCTTGATCCCGATAAGTGTAGATTGTTATTGGATGCTTGTCATTCATGAAACAATAAAGGTTTTAAATAGTCATTTAAACGAATCAATCGTCTCATCTAATAAGAATCTGACTCCAAAGATAACATTATGCCAATGGTGTTTAACACTAACAAAAGGAGCACAACATAAACTATATTTATTTAGTATATAACTGGTATAAAAAATAATGACATCAGTAAAACAGTCATAATCAAGTCTGAACGTGTCGTCACTCCAAAAAAAGCTCACCAACCTACCACTCTCATCAATTTTGAAGTCCCACACAAACATAATATCCTCGACCCGCCTCTCTATGAACAACTGCAACTGAGAATTGGCATCGCCAATTTCAATTCTAAAACTTCTCTCTTTGAATGAAATTGAAAGCATATTGCTTCGTATATTCTAGATTCTCCACTCCCCCAACTTCTGTATCAATAAAATTAAATGCATATGTAGCTCTTATACTTGATTGTGTCATCGATCTGAGCACATATGCATGAATTTCGCTTATCTTTCTACTGGAACGCAAAAGTTGCTTATCATCAGGGTCGCTAAGGAGTGGTTATGAGTTTCTTTTATTTTTTTAACTGTCCAATTGTCTTGACCATCAATCGTGTATCAAATCTGATGCGTGCTAGAAAATTCGCGGTGGTAGAGTAATGGATTATCGTCTTAGTGTTGCACGAGGATTCAACACACTCTGAGATGAAAGGGAATCAATCTGCGATAACACCAGAAGTTCTTACGTGGAAAACCTGTAAAGGAAAGAAACCACGGGGTCTAGCCTAGTTATAAAAATCTACTATAAGTTGATAATTACAGAGTCCCCTTGTCCCATAGATGAGAAAGGATTACTAGATTTTTCGAGGTACCACATCGACTGACGACGTCTGGTTAGTGGTGATGACAGTCGGCAGTGGTCGACGGAGGTCAGCGACGATCGGCGGTGGTCAACGACGGCCGACGGTAATCGACGGAGGTCAGCGGTGGTCGTTAACTGTCGGTACTGGTCGACAGTGGTCAACGACAATCGATGACTGTCGATGGCAATCGATGACGATCAGCGGTGGTCGACGGAGGTCAGTGGTGATCGGTGGTGATCGACGGTGGTCTGCGGTGGTCGAAGTCGGTCTGTGATGACAGGGATGATGTTGGACATAAAAAAGTCTCAAGTTCTCTCTCCAGCCTCCTTCCCTCATGTTAGGGGTGAGACTCTATTTATAGTGTCTTGGGTACAATTAATGCAGTAATATGAATCATTTTGATCGGATGGTTTGGAGAGCTTCACTCTATCAGATGGCGTTTGATGGACATTTGAGTGCCTTAACGATGTCAAAATCGAGCAATCTTGGGCACGTTTGATTCGTCTTGCC